AAGGCTTGATATCAGCACACGGCATATAGGTGTAAGCAGGGGTCAAGTGCTATTTTTATAGGTGGTGTGTGGACCTCACATAGGGGGGTCCGGGGGCAAGCTCTCCCGGAAGATTTATTTTTAAATATTGAAGTTAAAAGCATCAATCTGGTGCACTTTGAGAGCAACATGAGAGATCTATGGATACATCTCTCAACACAGAACTGTGAACAGATTTACTATTTCCTTATGGATATTTTACAAATCACTCCCTTTTAAACTTTATTCTTGTTTTACTCTCATATAGTATTTCATATTTTTTTATTTATTCTCTTATTTTTGTATAACTATAATGATCATATAAACGTGTGCCTCGGAAATAATTGTTTACATTAATGGTGACCAAAACGTTTGAGACCCACTGAGATAACTTAGACTAAAGTTAACTCTCTAACACTGAGACAGTCCTTTAGCTCACTGAGCCTCTCAGTCTGACAGGAGAGGACTCTCCTCCACTTTGTTGTTAGCGTAGCTCGCTAGCACCAGAAGCTAACATCAACGATCTCCGGTACCGGTGCGCTCTCTCTCTCTCTCGCTCGCGCACATACACACAGAGCCGAGCTTTAATGAAACACAGAGACCCAGACGTAATAGTACTGCATCATATTATTTTCGAATCAATAATATTTCAAAATATGATTTATTTTTATTTTTTATTTTTGTAATAAATATTTAAAAAAAAAAAATTCTCTCGCGCCTCCCCTGTAATGCGTCTGCGCCCCCCTGGGGGGGAACGCCCCCCACTTTGAGAACCACTGCCCCAAAGTGACATGATCGAAATGTAGAGTAGTGTCTTTAGCACATTCCCGGATGCTAACCTGCATATGTGGAGGCTGTGGCTCAGTGGTTAGTGCGCTGAACTTCGAATCAGCGGGTAGCAAGTTCGAATCCCACTGCAGTCAGCATGTCGTTGTGTCCCTGAGACCCTTCACCCCAAACTGCTCCTGTGGGGATTGCCCTCAGTACTGAGTATGTGAGTCGCTTTGGATGAAAGCGTCTAACGAGTGTCATGTGATGTGTTTCTAACGTCCAGGACCGGACTGCCGACGCTAAACACTCTTTGTGGGGATGGGATCAATGTAAGAAGACAATAGTTTAGAAATGTCTTGGCCGATGTGGACTTTTTTGGAGGTTATGGAGGATGCTGAATCCATTTCTGACACTTTCAGAGTAGAAAATTACAGTTTTAACCAGAAGGAGGCCATATTTCAGTTCAGGTTATTTATTCGTACCCATAGGTGGGTTCTGTTTGCAGAGAAAAAGACAAGGGTTCCATCCTGACACTAAAAACAAACACCAGACACATCTCTAATAAAGGACTAGTAAAAGTAAAAGTAAACCCTGCTCAACCAAATCTCAAAAATATTTAAAAAACATTTGAAGAAGGAAAACACTAGTACAAACATGGACATTCAAAATTCACAATTAAATAAATTGGGGGCTAAAATCTTGCCTAGGGCAGCAAATTGGTCAGGGCCGGCCCTGCGTGTATCCATCATTTCCTGGTCTTAGGGTTAGGGTTAGGGTTGAAGAAGAGGGACCAATGGAAACGTTGTCATGTTGCCGTTGTTCAGCATGGAAACATTCATTAGCTAACAATGACATTATTGTTCTATTGATATAAAGGGAGGTCAGGTACTCTTTAAAGCAGCTGCTAGTTATGGGTACTTTTTACTGAAGTACACTTCAAAGCCTCTTTACTTTCACTTGAGTAAAGAAGTTTAGTCAGTACTTCTACTTTCACCAGAGTATCTTTAAACACGAGTATCTGTACTTCTACTTGAGGAAACTGTGTTTTTTGTTGCTGAGGGGAGGCGTGTGGCGCAGTGGACTAGTGCGTTGAAGTTGGGATCAGGTTCAAACCCCACTGCAGTCAGCATGTCGTTGTGTCCCTGAGTCACTTCACCCCAAGGTGCTCCTGTGGGGATTGCCCTCAGTACTGAGTATGTGAGTCGCTTTGGATAAAAGCGTCTAACAAGTGACATGTGATGTGTGTGTTTGTCCAGGATCAGAGTGCTGCTCCTCTGCAGATCAGGACGATTAAAGTAATCACATTACTCCGCACGAACAAGACAAGCGCTCACCTGCAGGTGCAGTTTGAAGTCCTTTCTGAGGGGATGGGCTTCCAAACCGTGGAGGAATTCAACAAAGGCTTTTTCCACATGCTGCCTCTCACTGTGACGGCGAACATGCGAGGAAAGAGGATCCTGGAGATGAGAATGATCTGACACGCTGTTTAGTTTGAGTGTTGTAGAGTTTCAATCCTCTCCAATCTCATGCTTTACTAATAAAGAGATTCTAAAAGCTGTGTTTTTAATCCTGTGCTTCAATAAGTTGGTCCTTTTATTTGCAATTGGTGGATAAAACTATGGATGTTCTCTCAGCAGTTTAAAATAGATATTAAAAAGGGAATTATGACCCTTTTTTTTCTCAATTCTTACTTTTATGAGAAAGTAGTATTTTGATGACAAGTCAGATTTTTTCGCAAATTCTTACCTTTTTCTCAAAATCAAAAAAATGTTTCTCGAATTTGACTTTTTACTCAAAATCTTGACTTGTCTAAAACTTCCATGGGAGCCTGCCTGCAGACCTGCACTCTCAGGACAGTTCCGGTGCAGACCTGCACTCTCAGGACACCTCCACTCTCAGGACACCTCCACTCTCAGGACACCTCCACTCTCAGGACACCTGCACTCTCAGGACACCTCCACTCTCAGGACACCTGCACTCTCAGGACACCTGCACTCTCAGGACACCTCCACTCTCAGGACACCTCCACTCTCAGGACACCTCCACTCTCAGGACACCTCCACTCTCAGGACACCTCCACTCTCAGGACACCTCCACTCTCAGGACACCTGCACTCTCAGGACACCTGCACTCTCAGGACACCTGCACTCTCAGGACACCTCCACTCTCAGGACACCTCCACTCTCAGGACACCTCCACTCTCAGGACACCTCCACTCTCAGGACACCTCCACTCTCAGGACACCTCCACTCTCAGGACACCTCCACTCTCAGGACACCTCCACTCTCAGGACACCTCCACTCTCAGGACACCTGCACTCTCAGGACACCTGCACTCTCAGGACACCTCCACTCTCAGGACACCTCCACTCTCAGGACACCTCCGCTCTCAGGACACCTCCGCTCTCAGGACACCTCCGCTCTCAGGACACCTCCGCTCTCAGGACACCTGCGCTCTCAGGACACCTGCGCTCTCAGGACACCTCCGCTCTCAGGACACCTCCGCTCTCAGGACACCTGCGCTCTCAGGACACCTCCGCTCTCAGGACACCTCCGCTCTCAGGACACCTCCGCTCTCAGGACACCTGCGCTCTCAGGACACCTCCGCTCTCAGGACACCTCCACTCTCAGGACACCTCCGCTCTCAGGACACCTCCGCTCTCAGGACACCTGCGCTCTCAGGACACCTGCGCTCTCAGGACACCTCCGCTCTCAGGACACCTGCGCTCTCAGGACACCTCCGCTCTCAGGACACCTCCGCTCTCAGGACACCTGCGCTCTCAGGACACCTGCGCTCTCAGGACACCTCCGCTCTCAGGACACCTCCACTCTCAGGACACCTCCACTCTCAGGACACCTCCACTCTCAGGACACCTCCACTCTCAGGACACCTGCACTCTCAGGACACCAGCACTCTCAGGACACCTGCACTCTCAGGACACCTCCACTCTCAGGACACCTGCACTCTCAGGACACCTCCGCTGTCAGTACAGGAAGTGACGATGACGCGTTTTTTTTCCCGCCCACCGAAGGACTCGTTTGATGGAAGTTTTCAAATCACAATGGAGACTCATCACGGAGGTGATGAGTCCGCCCACCGTGCACTTTGGGTCGGCCTTGGTCAAGCCCTTTTGACCCCCAGCCTGGTTCTCGTAAAAGTTTTTCGCTCAAAAGACACCATGGAGGAATGTAACGGGAGTTGACAGGGGACTCTGCCCGCCTCACGAGTGCCTATTTTCGGACACTTTTTTTCACTTTTCCCCGGTTTCATTATTTTGGCTATTTCACCCGGTTTCTACCGGGGACATTGCCCGGTCTCGGGTGTCCCCCCCCCACGGCCTGTGTCCAGCCCCCCCCCCCATCCATATATTAACGGATTTTGACCATTTTTGTTGCATTTTTCTCCCCTCCTCTCACTGATCGAATGGAAAACGCGACCCACTGTCGGAGGGCCTCCGCGCCGGCCCGGCCTAGTGCCGGTGCTTTGGCGGTCGGTTCCTCCGACCTGCGGGTTCGACTCTGATGGCCGGGAGGGTGTGCTGCGTTGGGGTGGGGGACTTCCCCCACTCTGCGTGTCTCTTCCTTCCCGGGCCGGCCGATATGAAGCGTGACCAAGACTCACCGTCTGACTCAGGGGTCCCACGGGTCCCGCAGCGTGGTGGAGGTTTCCAGCTGGAACCTCCCCACCTCCGCCGCGGTGCACCCTGGCAAAACACGGTTGTTTCTCGAACCTTCCACTGTTGTCTGGCGGGTGTAACTAAAATACAAGATGTCGTATTTATATATAAATAAATATATATCTATATCTATATAGATAATAAGTGTCAGTACAATTTTATTTTGTATTTGCGTGCATTTCCTGTTTGGAAAGTGGCACTGTACTGATAGTGGTGATTTTATTTTGGAATTCTTAGCGTGCACTTCCTGTCCTGAGAGTGGAGGTCTGCAGACCCTTCTCAACATTTCGGGCTTTTTCTCAGAATCTCAAAATGTTAACTTATTCCTCAGAATCTCGGTTATGACTTTTTTCTCAAAATTCTGACAATGAAATTCAATAAGTTGGTCCTTTTATTTACAATTGGTGGATAAAACTCAGGATGTTCTCTCAGCAGTTTAAAATAGATATTAAAAAGGGAATTATGACCCTTTCAGCTTTGAGATTCTCCTCGTTGCCCAGCAACTGGAAACAATAAATCCAGAGAGATCCAAAGATAGCATGAAAAAAACTTTATTTCTACTTGACTTTATTAAAAAATATCAACAAAATGATCAGGAAACGTGCACACACATCCAACACACACACACACACACACACACATCCAACACACACACACAAAGCAGTATCAATCCACACACACATCCAACACACACACACAAAGCAGTATCCATCCACACACACCCCGTACACACACTCAGGACAATAAGCAGACATCATATAGTTTGTTTCTTGGCAAGCTGACAGTTATTCTAAAACACAAAAACAAAAACGACCAAACCCTTCGAGAAGTGAAGAGTTTCCTCCTTAAAAACACTCCGTTAGAGACGATGAACAGAAACCACCTGGTGTGACTTTCCAAAAATATACAATATTTATATAATTACATGCAGAGGAATCTCCGGCTGTCCGGAGGCACCTCTTCACTTCCTGCTAATACATGTCACACACACACACACACACACACACACACACACACACACCTGATTTACATTCAACACAATCTACAAAAATAGACCATTTTACACTCTGCATGTTGAGTCCAAACGCCCCCCCCCCCCCGTTAGCTCGTCTTTAATAGCAATAAGATAATTGTCTTTATTCACATATGGACACGTGAACAGATGCTACGCTAAGCTAGCTCCTTATTTGCCAAATGTGGAAAAAAATGAAAACAAAAATAACGAGGAATAACTTTGTTTTTAAATCAATAACGCAGCGCTTTCTTTGGGGTGAAATTACAGGCGTTGCTGAAACAGGAAGTACGTCCGTTTACTGGGGAGAATTTCAAAAATAAAACACTAGCAGGAACTCTGAAAAGACTCCAGCCGAGTGTGGACTTCATATTTCTGGTCGATTTATTTTGAAATGCCAGTATAGACACTTTCTTACTCCCTGCTGCCCATTGGTTACGCTTCATCTGCAACATACCGTCTATTAAAGCAGAACTCTGGGTGGCTTTTGTCTCAAAGTCGCGTCAACAGGACAGAATTTGAAGCTTATTTCACAACTAAAATGCAACTTAAACATAAATATCAGCGTGACAGTCTGGAGAGCGATTTTCAAAATAGAATAGAAACAGAAAGAACCAGTAGGTTTCAGAAAAGAGCCCAAAAAAAGATTTAAATGTCTCAATATTTTACAGTATGACACTTTTTGCAGAAGTCTACCAGTACGACCAGTAAGAAATCTATATTTTGTGTTTAATGTCTTTTAGAGGAAAAATAACCCCAAATAAATCAGAATTGTTCTTTTTTCGCATCCCATCAAATGTCTAAACCCCCTCGTATTTGTGTTCTGATGTTTGGGGGTCCAGACCCTCGACAGAGTGACGTAGTTTGGTTTCAAACTGGTTTACCTTCATATTAATTCACCGTTATATATATTTGTAATCGCTCTCCGGACAGACGAAGACGACGAGGAGGAATGACGGAGCTTTGAGTCCAGAAACATCCAGAGGAAACTTCCTGTCTCTGGTTTTGAAGTCTGTTCGAGACGCCTCACTTCTTCATGTAGACGCTTTTATTGTGGCGGGGTGTCGCGCTGTCAAAGGAGGAAGTGGTATTCAGATTATTTACTTTACTACGTTATCGTCAAAATACTTCATAACAAGTCAAAGTCCTGCATTTAAAATCTGGCATCGGGCTGATGGGGATTAGTGCTGAGATACAGAGAGATGAACTGGAGATGTGTTCAGATCAATAAGCAATCTGTCCAAGTGATCCATAATCCCATCGAATCTACATGTGGAGATTTTGAGGGAAATCAGAATGTTGAGAATTTTAAATGCCGATTTCTTTCTCAAAAAATGTTTCCCCTCAAAATTCTTACTTTTTCTCAACATTTTTTTAAGTTTCAAGTTAAGAAAAAAATACTTTTTTATCAAAATGTTGATTTTTTCCCTCAATTTAAAAAAATTGACTTTTTCTCATAATCTCAAAATGTACATTTTTTCTCAGCATTTTAAATTTTTCTCAAATTCTAAAAATTCTTGATTTTTTATCAAAATTCTTACTTTTTCTCAATTGTTGGTTTATCAACAAAAAAAAAATGTTTACAACATTTTTCCTCAAAATTTCAAAAACGGACTTATTCTCAAAATTATGACTTTTTTCTCAAATTGTTATTTTTTTCTCATACTGATAATTACTCAACATTCTTACTTTATCAACATTTAGATTTTTTCCTCAATTTCAGAAACTGACTTATTCTTTAAAATCATGACTTTCTCAAATTACTTTTTCTTAAATTCTTACTTTTTTCTCTGAAAATGTAAATTTTTTCTCAAAATTCTATCATTTTCTCAAATTCTAAAAATTCTTACTTTTTTCAATACATTTAAAAAAAAATCTCAAAATCTGACTTTTAATAATTACTGCACTTGAAAAGCATCCGGCAGTTTCTATGTGCTGGAGACCCTACTTTACTACATTTCTATCAACCAGGTTCACCTCAGGACTAACAGTAGCTCCTCCCACCTGCTCCTCATTGGCTGAGCACCAGCTGCTGCAGGTAAGCCTGAGTGAGGCCTCTCAGCTCCTCCAGAGTGTAGTCCTCGGGCATCGGCAGGCGGGCGATGTGCGGCGCCAGACGAGCCAATGGGATGCTGAGCGGGTGCTGCAGACTCAGAACCACACGCAGGATGTTCGCCACGCGCTTAGCCATCTCTAAGGGGGGTCATACATTTATAGCACCTTTCAACACAAGGCAATTCAGAGTTCCTTACAAACATGAAATGCATTCAGAAACAGTGGCATTCAAAAACACTCATTTAAAAGCAGAGATAATAAAACGACTAACATGTTTATTTCTAGTCTTTTCATTTCTCTCCTGTACAATGCATCCTCTTCTTTTGCTGCTGCATCGCAAACATTTCCCAAATTGGGATCAATGAAGTCCTTCCCATCTGATCAGAGGTGCATGGATCAAAGTTACAGAGCCGTTTGAGATGTGAGTCGTTCAGTTAAAAGCAGGCAGAGTTGCAGCGGAGCGGCAGGTTTCTGGGATCTGTTCCAGATGTTCTGGATTAACCGAGCTAATCGTCAGTTAGCACGATTAGCTCGGTTAGTTCACTGACCTACCTGACTGTGGGATATAAGAGACTTCCTGTTCTCTGCCATCTAACAAATAAACGACGACGACTCCGCAACTCAACACACTCATCTGTCTCTCTCTGTGTCTGAAACACCCGACACACTGACCCTGCTTTATGACGGTCACTGTAGTTTAAAATAACAAATAAGGGGGGGGGGGGATTCAGAGAATAAAGTAAATAAAGTTATTTTCTAGATTCTCCCTCTGGAATATGTATCCGACTCTAGGGTCGTACCATTCTGTGATTAAAATCGTAAGTAACTGTTTGTGACTTTCTGTTTCTCTGACCCTCGTCTTCCCTAGCTCCTCCCAGCTTGTCGGCCAATCAGCTGCTGCCGTTTACACAAAGAGGTAAGGAGCTCGTACCTGATTGGGCGAGGCGGTCTCTGGCACAGCTACAGGGCAGCAGCTCGATGCGGCTGCAGAGAGACGTCACGTCAGAGTGGAGACGCTCCAACTCATATCCTGCGCTCTCCAGCTGAAACAACAACATCAGGTACGTTAGTGTTTACATTTCGCACCACGTTATGCTCTGCTACCAATCAGAGGGGAGCTCTGAGGTCTTTGTAAAGATGCTATTAAAACCCTGAGGAACGTGCTTCATGCATAACAAGCTAAGCTATCAGCACATGTAGCTGCAGGGAGGTCACGTGGATGTACACATGGCAATGAGACCATAAATACAAAACAAAAGCAAGACGAAATGTTATCAAGTAGTCTCTTTACATCAGAACAAAGTTATTTCAAGTCTTGCTGACGATCGGGGGAAAAAGCACAAAAATCGATATTTATCTACAATATTTTCAAAGAAAGTCGAGGTGCTTTCATGCCGGTCAGATACCTGCTGTATCCGCTGCAGCGTCTGGATGACCCGGATGTAGTCGAGGTACACCCCCCCCGCGGTGTCCCAGTCCTGGATGGTGGCGCTGCGTTCAGGGACCGCCAGACCCTCCAGGAACTCCAGCAGGAAGTTGTGGTTATCGTTGATGATGCAGTCTGAGGGGGAGTGAATGAAACGTAGCTCTTATACTCCGTAAAGCAGGCGTGTCCAAAGTCCGGCCGCAGCTTCGTTCTTATCGTGTGCTTTTATTACATGCACAGCGCTTTGGCTCGTTTTTATATGTGCTGTAAATAAAACTTGATTTGATAAATGATCATAAGTTTAACACACACACACCCTGGGGCGAGAACGCGCTAACGGAGGGGTAGTTTGTGTAGGGGCGGTTTGGAATTGGGTCTTAGTGTGTTAGTGTGTGTGTGTGTTAGTGTGTGTGTGTGTTAGTGTGTGTGTGTGTTAGTGTGTGTGTGTGTTAGTGTGTGTTAGTGTGTGTGTGTGTTAGTGTGTGTTAGTGTGTGTGTGTGTTAGTGTGTGTTAGTGTGTGTGTTGTGTTAGTGTGTGTGTGTGTTAGTGTGTGTGTGTTAGTGTGTGTGTGTTAGTGAGTCTGTTACCTGAGGCCAGGTGCTGGATGAGCAACCGGTGGCACTGGCTCCAGGCTCCGGCTCTGTACAGGTGCAGCGCCTCCTGCTGGTGGGCTGCGTGCCTGCGGGCTCTGGTGGCTTTGGCCTGATGGATCCAGGTCTCCGGGAGCAGAAGCCTCTCAGTGAGGAAACGCTCCCTCTGCTGAGAGTCCTCCGTCTCCTGTAGGGGGCAGTAGAGCGCAAGCATCTCCTTCACCGCCCGCTCACGCTGCCTACACACAGGAAACAGGAAACACACAGGAAGTGTTATTTGTACCCTGTGCACTTGGCTTGCAAGTCAAAGACAGAGTAATGTAACACCTTCTTGTACGCTACAGTCCAACAGAAGTCTTACGTGTGGTCGTGGATGTGCATCAGGATGAAGATGGCCATGTGCCAGAGGCCTTTGCTCTCCAGCTGAGCTGCGTAGCTGCTGTGCAGGAGGCCCTGTCGAGAGGAGCTCAGGTGAGTGTAGTGCAGCGCCTGAAGGACGCCCCACAGGTGCCAGCTGAGTCTGTAGTCCAGACGCTGCCAGGTGACGCTCAGAGGGTCGAGCAGCTGCTGCAGACTGTAGTGTCTGGAGAGAGAGAGGGGACGTTATACATCTGCCCGTCTGGCACCAACAGCCATGCCCCGTTCTGATGCTCTGTCTGAACTTGCCAGGTCCTCTTGACCATGTCTACAGGCCTAAATGTATTGAGTTGCTGCCATGTGATTGGCTGATTAGATATTCGCATTGTGTGTTCATCTTTACAGTACAGAGATCTACTGTATAGGCACACCAAGAACTAGCTGGGTCCTGGATCCAGGTGTTCTGGTTGGTCTGATTGGGGTCAGCAGGTGTTCACCTGTCCCTGTAGAGCAGTGTTTCTCAAACTTTTTCAACACTCGCGGACCACCTAACTCCACAAATATCCCAAAACACATCGTTTTTTACAAATCGCCTGAAAATTGTACAAACAAGTGGCAACATGTGTGATGAAGGTATTTATCTGGGCTATATCATGCAATCGAAAGTGAAACTTAAGCTCGCTCCATTGCGGAGATATTCCCGCGAGAGTGCGGAAAACTTAAATAAATGTATTTATTTCAAATGTGAAATGTTACCAATATACTCACGGACCACTAGGGGGCGCTCACGGACCACCAGTGGTCCGCGGACCACACTTTGAGAAGCACTGCTGTAGAACTTCAGAACGAGTTTACCTGTCCCTGTAGAGCTTCAGAAGGTGGAAGCAGAGGTCGTGCAGAGGGCGTTTGGTTTCCTCCTCTTCCTCCTCCTCCAGGTGAGGCTCCTCTTCCTCCAGGTAGGGGGGCAGGGGGGCCACGGCGTACTTCCCCCCCTCACAGGAGCCCTGCAGGGTTTAAACGTGTCACATTTAATAAAGTCCTCCGAGAAGAACCACAACATTGGTGTGAATGCTGACGGCTGGCTGGAGCTAAACTACCAGGGCTCAACGCTAACTTTTTAAAGTGGTTGCCAGGCAACCAGGCATCAGCTTTTGGTTGCCAAAACTCAAAATACGGTTGCCATTTTCAGACACCTTATATTTTAAATAATTAAGATACTATACAGTTATACATCAACTTAATAATGAACATGTGACACAAAAGAATGTTCAAATGCTTTACAATAAGTAATGAACGCAATGATTTGAAACCTAAGTGGGAGGAAACCTGCCCACCCTCAATGGCTGGAATACGAAACACCAGGAGCGCTGCTCTTCACAGATCACTCGTTTCTTGGTCATCCGTTGTCTCCCTTTCAAATGTGGGTTTTCTTGACCTCTGTGCTGACCCCCACCATAGATCCACTGGCCCTTCAGCATTGAAGTCTTGACCTCTGTGCTGACCCCCACCATAGATCCACTGGCCCTTCAGCATTGAAGTCTTGACCTCTGTGCTGACCCCCACCATAGATCCACTGGCCCTTCAGCATTGAAGTCTTCTTCATCTGAGCCGGCTAAAGTAACTGGACGGCCTACCTGCCTGTCAGCCTTCCATCTGGGCACAAACTCATCTCGTGCCCTCATTGGTCATGTGTGCGTTCGTGTGTTGGAGGAGGGGCTCTGTGAGGAAGTCTGAAGGAAGTGGCAGATTTGTTCCGGTTGTGTATTTTCAAATTCTAGCGCACTCGAGCTGGTTCCTCCGTTCTTACCTATACCCCACCTTTAACTCTTTTTAGGGCGCAGCTATATGTTTTATTTATTTCAAAGTGGGCCCATTTTAATTATACTTTTGTCCTTCAAATGTGCAGAGGACTCCCCAAGTGCCGTGTTTCATTTATTTTGAAGTAGGCCTGTGTATTATTGTAATTCTCCTTATAAGAGTTCTTTGCTTCTTATGAGAGGTTAAGTTTTATATAATGCAATAAATAGCCTAATAAATGCAAACAAACTGTAGTTTTTGTCTGATATAACAATAAAAACAACTTTATAAGCTATCAAGCTATAATATGTTTTGCGGCTCCAGACAAAAACATTTTTGGGAAAAAGGAGCAAAATGGCTCTTGGTCAAAAAGGTTGCAGACCCCTGGATGGGCTGAACCTTTGACCCCAGTCAAACAACTTACTTTGCTTCGCCATTGTTTGTATAAACACGAGTAAACGTGCATGGCTTTCTGGCTCCGTAATCACACCAATGCAACTTAAGTCTCAGGTTCCGACTGGTCACAACAATAATTAAATATCACTCTATACAACAAATAATTAACATTGATCTCTTTTGGGGTGCACATTTAGCTGTCCTTATTTCTTCATGTGAAAAACTGAATCAAAGGCCAAGAAGTGGTTAATATTTTTTCTGAATGGTTGCCAATGGCAACCTGGCAATCGCTACTGTCGAGCCCTGACTACATATAAAAAAGTTTCGATGTCTTTAGAGAGACCTGTTTTATTATTAAGAAGTATTTGACTTTGCTTCCTTCTTTTAGATGTGGGCTTGGG